TATTATTATTATTATTATTATTATTATTATTATTATTATTATTATTAGGCTCTGATGCTCAGTTCTACTCCTCCTCCACACCTGAAAAGAAATCTCTTCCAAAGGCAAAACACAAGCAGAGGAGTTTCGGTTCCAGTTTCACAGCACCAAGCAGGCTCCTTGCTGTCTCCTCCTTGCTCACACAGCAAATACTGTTTCTTTTTCCAAACAGCCCTCAACTCTCTCTCACACACCGACAGGACGCTAGCCAGGTGAATACCAATGGATGCTGGTAGGCAGAGGCAGAAATTTCCCCCCCTTATTTTCTTCTCCAAAAACTAAGCCCCACCACATAGTTTCACAGCGAAGCACATGGGTATAGAGCTAGCGGTTGAGGCTGATGGGAACTCTAGTCCAGCACTATCTCCCATAGTTAAATTCATTGTGGATACGAGTGAAGACTAATTAGCACGTGGGAAATGCACTCTGCGACAGCAAGTGAGCAGGTCGCTTTAGAGTGGGACTCCCTCAGTATACCTTAGATAAAGTACACCGGAAATCAATAACGGGGTGAGGACTGTTTACCTGCTGGAAATTTGGATCCAACCTCGTGGGAACGGGCTTCCTTTTTACACACTACAGAAACGAGAACGGCCAAACCTTGGTCCCATCGTTCCCGAGGCCAGCCTGCTCACCTGGAGATACTGCATTTTGTCCTCCGAGACGGGCTTCGTGGCGTAGACCTGAGGGATCCCTCGCTCCAGGGCCGACAGGTCATAGCTGGTGATCTGGTCCACCGTGAGAACGTCGCCCGAGAGGCTGTCGGGAAAGGTTGGCGAGTACATCGCGTCCGTGGAGACCGGCCGGCCCAAGCTGGTCTCTTTGGTTCCCAAGGTCGACAAGAGAGGGCAGGGGATAAACAGGGAGAGAGTCAGGGTCTTCCCAGTTCCCGCGACGAGAACTTTGGCAAGTTCTGAAAGTACAATTCTTCCGCCGTTGCCATTACAGCCGAAGAAACTAGGGAGGGTCCCTTTGTCAACTCGTAAAATATTTCGATTGTCTTTTTAGAGTTGCCACAGAAAGGGAGGGGGGAAAGAGCAGTGCGGCAGCTTGCAAACCGGAAGTGCATTCCATAAATGTTTTCAAAGATAGCAACTAGGTGACCGAAGTTTCTGCCAAGCTAAAATTCTAACTGGAGAGGTGATGATTGATGACTCTGGGCTATGGATGGGTCTCATTGGAGAATATGATTTATGACACACCCAGGAGTTGGGGGGAAAACCAGGGTCAAGGGTGACAATGAATGACGTGTCTCAGAGTCGGCTGCACCCAGGCAGTGCCAGCATGTTAACTCCCAATAAATCTTTTTGAAGTTTTGGAAGTTTGGCTCGAGACTCGTGATTTAAATAGGGGTTACTACCAGAATCCTGCCACCCTTCTGTTTATCTACCTGCTTTGCCGCTGAGGGCTACACGGTCTCTTATCTAATCATTCCATTGGCCGCGTCTCCAAAGCTGGGAGCACCTGTACTGAAGTGTAGTCGAAGTACCCCCACCTGTACTTGAGGTACCCCACCCCCTGGGAATGGCACCTGCTCACCTTCTCCGCCGTCGTTGGACATGATGGCCACGCACTTCTCCCAGACCGAGCGGACATCGGCCCGGTAGCGATCGCAGGCCCAAAGGAACAAGGGCAGGAGAAGGGACTGGGCCACGGAGCACCAGAGGATGCACAGGATCATCCAGTCGTGGGCCACGTCCGACTTCAGGCTGGCAAAACTCACCACCTGAACAGGAGAGGCGTGGCACTAAGGCAGGGCCCCCCCAAAACGTGGCCACTTTAAGACTTGTGGACTTCAACTCCCAATTCTGGCAGTTGAAGCCCACAAGTCTTAAAGTGGCCAAGTTTGGAGACCTCTGGACTAAGGGAAGCAAACTTCGAATCCATTCTAATAAGACAGGCTGAAATGATGAATCAATTATCAATTCTAATTTCCTTTCTCCCTCCCTCCCTCCCTTCCCCTCCCCTTCTATTTCCTCCCTTCCTCCCTCCCCTTTCTTATTTTTTTATAAACACTTCAAGGTCCAAATATACCTAATACTCTTTCCTCCTCCTCTTTTACACACAACAACAACCCTGCCAGGTGGGCTGGGCTGAGAGAGTAACTGGCCCAAGGTGACCCAGCTGGCTTTTATCCACAATGCACTGCAATCGAATCAATCTAAACAATAAGGGAGGCTATAAATGTTGCCTCTGTCATCTATCATCTCTCTCTCATCTATCTGTGTCCATCCATCCATCCATCATCTCTCTCCCTCACATCTCTCTTTCTCTCTGTCTATCCCTCCATCCATATCTATCTATCTATCTATCTATCTATCTATCTATCTATCTATCTATCTATCTATCTATCTATCTATCTATCTA